ATATATATATATATATATATATATATATATATATATATATCAAACGTGATTAGTTTTCTGTAACACACTTACTAGTACTGAATTTAATCGTGAGCAGGACTGAAGCGTGCAGGTTTCGTCTTTTTTTTTGAAGGTCCCAATTGCCTGGGGTTATGTTGTGAACTCATATTGTACTGTAAGACATGTAGGACAACGGCAGTGACCTGAACCATGTGACTGTGGGATGGGAGTTAAGGCCCATATCTGCTCACAATAAGAGGAATTAGTTAAACCAAACCAAAAAAAGCACAAAAAAAAACTAAAACAGCGAAATGGACAGTAGGGTGCAGAAGCAAGTGTGGAGGGGCAAGTTAGGGTGCTGCGCCAGTGACCAGAAGGTCGCTGTTTCAAATCCTACCGTGGGTGGAATGATCTCACCAGTGGGCCCCTGAGCAAGGCCCTTAACCCTCCAGTTGCTCCAGCGACTGTCTGCTTGCTTTTTATTGAATGGGTCCAACTGCAGTGTAAGACTTTGGGGTCTGTGCCTATTTTCATGGTCAAAGAAAAGACAACTCAGGCTCAAGCTTAGGAAGGTGCTCATCACTTCACTTCACGCTTCTTGGAGAGCTTCAGTCCCTTAAAGATACGCTCTCCCTCTTGATTTATTATGCATTATGGAGGCACTCTTTTAGTCTTGCACAGAATCACACAACATTCCAGCAGACGTCTTGAAAGGTGGGACCAGCAGATCCTGTAACTGTACTTCTCAGCGTGACTATTTATGGATATTTAGCAGGATGTAAGGAAGGATGTTATTAGGAGCCGTATTCCACAAATTGTTTTGGGTTTTCTTCATCGAAATCTCCTGGGTTTCAGTTGTTTCGAAAAAGTCTAGGTTGCGGTTCAGTGTTTCCTGGTTTTACTGTTTTAATTTAGTTTTCACTTTGTACCGCATGTTGAAAACACACCCAATTAAAATGCTACTGTCTTGTGAAAAAAAGGTTATGTAAAAATAAATAACCGACAAAACAGAAGTCTGATGAGGGGCTGGGCTGACAGGAGAATAAATGAAGCCTGCTTTGGCATTCAGGACCCACAAAGCCTGTAGCTTTACTGAAGTGGGGGAGGGTGACGCTGTTCCCGGTGTGCAGGTATGCCACATGTCCCACTGCACCATGGATCGGCTCCATAGTGTGAAACACGACCCCCTGTGACTCCCTGCGGAAGCCTGCTCACAGGAGTGATGTCAGCATCACCCTTATTCGGATAATCATATGTATTTTCCTAAAATAACCCAGGCAATGTTTTCATCTTAAGGTACGTGTTTAGCTTTTAGTTGTATGATTCAATAATTTAAGCATCAGAATCAGGTTTATTTGGCAGATGGATGGATATGTGGATGTATGGATGGATAAATGATGGATGGATAAATGATGGATGGATGGGGAGGTGGGCAGGCCTGGGTAATAAAAGTAAGGTGTAAAACTGTGATCATGGTCAAAGCCAAATTCCATCATGAGTCAGTTCCTGTCCAGATGCAGGTTAATGGAATAGCTCTGTGTTAATTAAGTACAGAGCGGCTTTTAATTTGCTGAGCCTCATTTATTGATGGGAGTGGCTCACGTTTCATCGTAGGTCCTGAACCCTTCAATTACTCAGTGCTTATGTTAATCTTGATGCGAGGGGCCAGACTGTGTGTTTGTGCTTCTCCTCTGCAGCACCGGAAGCTTCTTAGCTCTTGGCCATTTTGTGGCATCTTGCAGTGTAGAAACTGTAAGTCCACTCTCTACAGTTAGTAGATTCAATGTAGAAATGAACGCGATGCTGTGGATTGGGGGGGTGGCACCGCTTGTCTGTCACCACCAGGGCTGGAGGTTTGAATCCTTCCCCTGGTTTGTATGGCATGAAAAATCATTTAAAAACTTGTCCCAACTTTAATATGAATAAAAAAAAATTGTGCGCGAAGCAATGCATTTTTTCCACAAAATTTTTGGTCGCAAACCAAATTGTTCGTAGACCACAGCTTTCGTGAACCGCAGGCACTACAGTATTATGAAACATTTTGCAACAGCAGAATCCTGTTTGTATATTAATGCTGCATGATGCATTTGAAGGTCTCCGGAATTCTCCAGAAGCCGTCACAGATCCCTCTTCTCTTAACACCGTTAAATTGGCTGCTAATTAACTAAATTAGAGTAATTCAGAGGAACGTGGTGCTGATGATCACTGTGCCCATGGGTCCAGCGGCAGCCAGGCCGCCTCTAGAGGGCTGCATATGTCGAATTTAATTAGCAGATAAGTTGAAGGATCAGGGCATCCCTGCTTCACCTTGCAGAGGAAGTCTGACAGTATTGTGATATTTTTACAGGGTCAAGTTCTTGAGGAGGATAGCAAAGTACATTAATGGAACATTAATAGAATATATGTATTTTACATCTCACATTTCAGTTTTCAAATGGAAACTTGAAAAAGGACTTAAAATGTAAGAGTGTCTTTCCACAAAGGCTGATGACTTATGTGATTAACTTTCTAGTGGTGAAGTAAAGCCTTTCACTGGTGAGCGAGGTGTGTCACTAAGAGATCTATGCATGTGTCACTTGTGGATTCAGGTGTCTGACCCTAAGCTTTGCTCACTAATCATTTTGGACAAAAGCTTCTGCTAAGTAATTAAATGTGGATGATACTTCACCAGCACTTAAGCTTCAACAATCCAAAGGAATAGAATGGGTGGCTTCTTCTCTTTTTTGCTTTCTCATATGCTCTTAAACCAGATGCTGGAATTCAGCTTGGTTTATCCCCTTGAGTTTGACACTGACAGCACTAAGACCCAGGAGCGCCTTCCCAAAGCGTATCTCTAGTGTCTCTCCCATGGCGTAGTCCACCATGGGGGGAGGCAAGCCAAATATCCCCCCCCCCCCATTACCCTCGTTACCCTTATTAGATTAAGTTAGTCACCCACCCCCCCTCCAGCTCCTGCCCCCCAGCTGCTGCTGCTACTGACTCACAGTATGTAAGAAGCTTGTGATATTGTTTATTGTGATGGGGGTGGGGCTACTGAAAGGGCTATATCTTTTTAATTGTGACATCATGATTGTGACTATGATGTCATAATAAAGAAATGAATGGAAGTGGTCAGTATTCCCTTAATCTTCTCCATGTTGGAAATCTGTATGTCAGAATTATCAGTAATCTCATGACAAGGACTGTATGTGTGTGTTTTACGTGAAAGGATGTGGGAGTCTTGGAAAAAAACCAAGACTTTCATAGTGAAAAGTTCTTATTTATTGTTAAAGACCTTGACAGGAAGGAGATATGAGTTAGCATTTCTGGGGTCACCAGTTCTCAGACCAGTTAACAGCACTTGGTGTCCATTTTGTTGTTCCCCATTGAATAGACATTGTTTGTAATATCCTGTGATCTTTTCATAACCTTTAGCAACTTGGTGAAGCATAAGTATTTTGAGAAACATTAAGACATAATTATATGTTTTATTGGACCTTTTTTTACAAGTAAATAATATTTGATTCGTGTAATCATCTTTAAAATGTCAGAATGAGTGTTGTTTTTAAATTCAAAGTCTCAGTTTTATCTTTGTAACTAAAACTTCAGAAAATTAGGAATTGCTGTACATGCAGGGTATCTGTTGTGTAATATACAATCTCATTCTGCATGCCAATAGAATAAGTCATTAGACATGTTGGACACATTCCTTCCTCTATGCTACATTGCCTTTGAATGCTTCACCGCCCCCCCCGCCCCCATACCCCCACCCTGACATTGCCCTTCACATTCATCCATAAAAAAATTGCTCAGATAAAATGCCAAGTGGGACCTAAATTGGGAAGACAGAGTCGATAGCAGTGACACGTCCCTGAGGATTAGGTCCGGCATTGTGTCCTGGGGGGGCGCCTCGACAGACTGGGAAGTGTCCGGGAACGACTGAACTCCCGAACCAGACTTAGTCCAGTTTCTATTTTATTTTTCCTCAGCTGGATTTTCCTTAAATGGAAACTAAGGGTGATTCTCAAGAGGTGGATGGACACCTGAGGAGGAATGACACTGAGGTAAGGATGCCATCTAATCATCCGGCGACTTTCAGATGACCTTGACTTATAGTGACCTGAAAGCTCAAGGTTCCTGTGTGCTTCACAGAGCCTTGGTAAGGTTGTCGTGCCGGATGCCAAGGTGGAATTCGCCAGAAGGTGCAGCCTGATCCTAAGCGATGTAAGTATAGATGTTTGGCCTTTCCTCCCTTTCAAGGAGACAGCAGCCAGTGGGAGGTCGACTGTCTATGAAAGAAGACCGACTGCTTACCGTTTGGGTGCTAATAGGTGTCACCTGTAACAGATGTGGACCAAAAAACATCCCCACCTGATTTAAGTGGTAGAAAATGTCTGATTAATTGCTTGACCCTTTGCTATTAATATGGTTTGTAGGCAGTAGAGGATTCACTTCTGGCATCTTCCAGGAAGAAGTGACAGGTCAGCTTGTTTGTCCAATATAAGGACAAAGCAGTAGCTAGCTGGAGGTCAGATAAGGTGTGCAAAAGGGTGAAACAAAAGTGAATTATACCCTAAATAACCAAATTATATAATAATAATACCAATAATAATGTATTATATAATTAATAATTATTAAAGATCTGTCTGCTCATAGCACGTGTGATCTTGATTTCCAATCTATTTTTTCTCGAAAGATTTTCTAAGAAGCTGCAATCAGCAGAGTACATCTTCACCTTTATATGTAACGTGGCTTAATTTCCTGAGAGCAGAAGGCGTTCACGTTCTTCAAAGGGTCTGCTCTGCGATAAGAGGCTGGAGAATAAGGTGACCTTCCTTTGTTCCTTATTGACGCACACGCACGCTAAGTATAGATGCTGCAATTCTGGCCCCCGAGTCGACGTCCCGACTTTCAGGAATAGAGAGCAAAGGTCAAATGCAGCTCAGGCCACAGAAGCTGCATGTTAATTGAATTTCAACTAAGAATTTATAGCTCGCCTGTCGATATATCTGCGATTCTGCAGGACTTATATTTCAGGTAAAACCGGAGGAATAGTTCTCTCTTTTTCTCTCACTGTTGCGGGCTCCTGGCTCTTGAGGGAAGCTCAGGCGGAACAGATCGTGTTAGTTACGGCTCTGCTTGGCACAAAGAAAGGCTGGATCTGGAAGAGTGCCTATTTTTATTCCTACTGCTCATAATTAAACAATTAGTGTAAACCAGAGCTACTTTAATTACAATCTGCTTGTGTTTTTGCCTACTCCAGGCATGTCTGAAATTGTGCACTAATTACTGCTCTTGTTCTGAAGTTTAACTTTGGTGGTCTGGGATATTTTACTGGAAGTATTAGATCCTCAGATCTTTTGCATACATTATACATTATAGATTTTACATTTGCATTTTCAGATTTTGGCACTATATCTCACCTCCATGGATTTGACGTTGTGTTTTAGATTATTTAATTTCTTCTTAAATAGTGTATAGAGGACATGCAGTCTTAGTAAAAATGCATGAATAATGAGGAAAATGGGCTCAGAGCAATGCATTTTGGGAATTTACTCAATGGCAATGCATTTTATAATATCCTGGTTTTATCGCTTGCTATGGATAGGCTTATTTGTGCTGCATTTGGGATTATCCTTGGTTCTACTAACTGTAGAGAGTGGACTTACAGAGGTGTGACCTGCTTCCCACACACCATCTGTCCAACGTCAGGTGAATAGTAAGCGGGTCTAGGCAGCAGCACCTGTTGGTCCTGAATGAGCTCAGGTTGCAGCATATTACAGGGTCGTGTTCCTCTCCAGCATCAGCAGTGCAGTCAATAAGGCACAGGAAGCGGTGCAAGTATCAAAAAAGAGAAACCAGAGCAGGGGGTAGCGTGATATCTGGTGTCCAGGTACTGGGCGGCTAATATCCAGCAGAATAAAACCAACAGTGGAGAGTCCTGGTCCATAGAAGGTCAGTGGCAGTGTTTCCCACCTCTCAAATTATGCTTGTGGGTGGGGCCCCCGAGGATTGGGGTCCCTCTGTTGGCCACAAACAGTCACTACACTAAATAATAAATTAGTGCATTCCTTATTTAGGTATTGGTGAGGAAGCATGTTCTGTGAAATAGCTAGCTATGGTCTTTTGACTCTACTCATTAGCTGTTTGTTTAGTTTTTGAAATATCTAAGGGGGGTTGGGCCCCCAAATGGACCTGCTCCGGCAGTGGATTGTATGATAGCTGACTTTTACTTGTATCTCATTGCTTCAGGGAAACAAGTATAGTATTATGAGCAGATCTACGCTCCCCTATTGCTCCAGTTGTAGCTTAATGGCTAGCAGAGAGGTCGCCCAAAAACCTGCATAGCCCACCTTGGAAAAGGGTCCCCTACCAGACCATCATTGTCTCTTTGGGCAAAGGTGCCTGCAGTCAAACGGTTCACCGTCGGGAAGAAAGGCAATATAAATCAACACCTTTGTGTGCTTCTTAACGTTCAGTTAATATGCCCGGTGGGTTGCCAGGACTAGAAAGAGCCAATCAGGGGCTCCTGTCAGGCATGTGCTGTCCCTGATGTACCTGGCAACCACTGTACTGTTGCCAGGGCTTTTTATGTATAAATTTTTTGAAGAACCCTGAGAGATTATGGGATGTACGATTGATTGCAGAATAGTAGGCTGTACCACCGAGACAAAAATGATCCTGGGGATCTGGAGTTTTCAGAATGTGTTTGCCTTCTGTAGCAGAGTAAGATTCTGATCTAAGTCTCAGCTATTTGACAGAATTTCTGCAAAAACTTTTCCAGGCTAGAGAGAACCATCCTCTATTCTGTTGTTCTTTTCTGCCATTGTATGAATCTCCTGTATATTTGCTCTTTGCATGTTTTCAGTAATTGCTTCGCCTCCAGGAATAAAATGGCAGATGAGTCAGTAGACATGTTTATACAGCTTAATTCTTTATCACGATGTTGCTATTATTGTTCAGTTAGTTATGACCTAATTTATTCCTGTTTTTTCAGCTGCACTGAAGAGTGGAAGAGGGGGCTTCACTGAACGTACTTAGCTATTGATAATGAAAAAAGAAGGCCATTGCTTAGAGGAGATTTTCATAGACTGTTTCAGCATGGTGTCATGCATTGGGATCCCATCCATGGTGTGGCCCATCTTGTGATCTGTACTAACTGAGACTCACTGTAGCCGAGTCCTCGATATTCGGTTAGAAGATTGATGGACGGATGTCTTTGTAAAGGGAGATTATTCTAAGCCCTAATATCTTAACCCTAAAATCAGGTATTTTTTTTCTGGAAGACTGCCTACTGGAAGTTTCTCTGACCAGCGAAACGTCTGAGTCTTTTCAGGACCAGTCAAAACGCTGAATTGCTGGTTGGAGACACTGTACTGTATGTACTCAGGGGTACCACTGCTCACAGTGTTATCTCAATTGCTTCAGTAAAAGTTTATATATGAAGCTGCAACTCAGTTTTGACAATGTCTGGCCAATAAATCATTAATATATACATTGTTAATCAAGTAGAAATTAAAGGTAGTGAAGAAAAACCAGACGCGCTCGCCAGAACTCCAGGTCCAGAACTGCATCATCCCACCCCTGTTAACATGTCTCTGGCTGTGGGACTGGGCACACATCACACCAGTCCGATTTGCTTCTCCCCTACCAGCCTCCCTGCAGTCTTCGATTCCCCCTTCCGAACTCCACGGCTATGGTGACCACGCATTTTCCCGTTTAGCTCCCCTCCTTTGGAACTCCCTCCCTACTGCTATTCCTCAGTCGACCTCAGTCTCAGATTTCAAAATCAAGCTAAAATCCTTTTTGTTTGCCGAAGTATATAACCTTCCTTATCCATAATATGTTTTGTCGCTTTCTTATCTGTTTACTTTATTCTATGTAAGCATCTTTGAGATCTTGAAAAACGCTATATAAATAAAATGCATTATTATTATTGTTTATGAAACGCCATCGATGTTGTGGGAGGACACTAAGACCTGCTCCATGCAGGATAAATGTTTCCTTCCTTACTGAGAGCGCTGCATGCATGTCGTTGCTGGTATGTTGCAGGTTAAGTACAAGGAGGACGCCAAGGAGGTTTCGAGCTCCTTGTACTCGCTGCTGCCAGAGACAAAGGAGACTCTGCCCGCCAGGGAGCTCTCCAAGCTGCAGAGTGATGTATGTACTTATGGGCCTCAAACGGAAAGGGTTGTGGGTTTGAGGGTCACTGAAAAAGCATGGGTCAACCTTGTATTTGGCACTGTTACAGACTTAGTAACTCACTCCTGAAACAAAAGACTTAACACATTTTCATAAGTCCCACCTCCCAAAAACATGGACCGATTAGAAAACCAGTATATTAGCGTTTAAATATCTTATCTTGCGTTTTTGTTTGCACTGCTGAATGAGTTGCTAACTCAGTCTCATTTTGCTGACGTGTACAATGAGAACGATTAAGTACTGAATTTAAGCACTGCATTGGTGTGGTGAAACAGAGGCATGTGGTTGATACGTAGCACCTCAGCAGTGGTGTGGCAAATACTTACAGTTACACCCATCAGAAGTCTGTGATGTATCTCTTCATGAACAGAGTATCCCAGTCTACTTTTTTTGAGTACCAGTCAAAAGTTTGGACACACCTAAGTAAAACCCTTTCTTTTCCATTAAGATAACAACTCTACACACAACTTAGTTTATGTAGTAAGAATTATTTTGTTAACAAGGTCAGAGTATTGTTTTGACAAATGGCCTGGCCCCTGCAATCCCCCGACCAAAACCCTATTGAGCTGGTTTGGGATGATTTGGCTTAAAGAGTAAGAGCAAAGTAGCCAACCTCTGCCCAGAACTTGTGGAAACTCCTTCGGGACTGATGGAGAAGCATCCCAGATGGCTACAGCTGGAAGCTGGTTGCAAGAATGAGTATAGTCTGCAATATAGTCTGCAGTATAGTCTGCAATATAGTCTGCAGTGCTGTCATCCAAGCAAAAGGGGGCTATTTTGAAGAGCTTAAAACCTGAGAAAATTTTGAGATGCTGAACACTTCTCTTGGTCATTGCAGTATTTAATATGTAGGACTCAAGGCCTTTTACTATAAGGTGAATAACATAGCTAAATTATATAAAAAAAGAATTTTAAGCTGTTGCTTCCATAGTTTTGACTGGTGATGTGTTTCAACTTACTAGTTACTTAAAAGCAACTGTTCACATCTGAATCTAATACTGATCTGCTGAACATCCCAGTTTGAATAATAACACATCACTGGCAATGCTGCCGTGGCATATTGCAGGTGAGTAAGCTGCACACCGTACAAGGAAAACATGAAGGTTTCTAGTTCGACTTACTCACAGCTCCCGCAAACAACCGAGACCCAGTTTGTGAAGGAGCTTTCAGAAATGCAGAGCGAAGTATGAAAGAATTATCCTCATCTTAACGTGACATTACAGATCAGCCCGAAAACAAAGGGAACAACATGTAGTTAAGGTCTAATACTATGACTACAGCTTGTATGGTCTCACCAAAGTGACTTAGAGTCGAGGGAAACATAACAGAGTATTTATGTTCCCTGGGATTTGAACTCACAATATTTGCATTGCTAGAGCAACATGCTACTTGTTGAGCTACAGGAACTGCTCTGTTTGCATGACTTTCCTGCAGATACTTTGGTTTTCTCACTGTCCAAAAACATGCTATCATGAATTGGAGTTGCCAAATTGTCCGTAGGTATGAATGGTGTGTGTGTGTGTCTCTGTTTAAGTGTATTTGTATGTGCATGTGTGTGTGTGTCTGTCTGTATTTCTGTGTGTGTGGGTTATGTATACATTACATTGTGGAGACCAATTGTGTTAACGTTCTATGGACCACCTTTTGTTCCCCACAAGGGGACACTCAATTTCATAAAAATCTGTGACTGCAATCAAAACACTAAAAATGCCTAAAGTCTTGTATTTTGTTTGGTTACTTATGGTTAAGCTTTTGGCTGGGTAGGGGTTAAGGTCGTCATTGCTAGGATTCAAGTTTTTCCCACAGAAATGAATGTAGAGTCCCCACAAAGATATGAATTCAAGTGTGTGTGTGTGTGTGTGTGTGTGTCTCCTGGGATGGACCCTTGTTACCCTGTACTGGATATGTGGTTGAATGATGGATGGATGGATGGATGGATGGATGGCTTCCTTTATTTGATGAGATTACTATAGTGGGACAGGCTGCCCATGACTTCAAAAAAACAATATGGCAGTTTAATGGATGGATGGATGGATGGATGGATACACGTCTAACTGTGTACTATCTTTTCAGAACAAATACAAACAAGGCAGGAAGGAGATTTCCTGCCTGTACTCGCAGCTCAAAGATATGACTGAGACCAAGTTCGCGAGAGAAGTGTCCGATCTGCGGAGTGATATGAGCTGGAGGGCAGCAGCCTTCTGCTGAAACTTTTACACACGATTCCTCCAAAGGAACCAGTAACAAAAGAACAAGAGCCACTCTAATACCATTACAACCTAACATAAGAAAAGCCAGACAAAAAATATTACCAAGAGAGAATCTAGTAAGAACTAAGTCTATGTGCATTATACAATAACAGAATATCAGAGGTGGAACGTTCAGTTCCAGAAAGTACAAATCCAGACCAAGGTTTTGTTTCAACCAAAATATACTTTATAAGGTATAGAGTAAGTACATAAAAATAGCAATATACCAAATAAGTATGTAAAGACTTTACATATGGTCCAGATGAAAGGGATCATCAAAAACAGTAAGATAAAAGTAGCTTCCTTTGAGAAAATGTTTCAGTATGACCACAGAATGATTTAATAAACTAAGAAAATCCATGGATGCATGCATGTTATAAGAGCCACAGAGTCATGCTGAGGGTGCACTATGTGCTATCAGGACCATCAAAGTAGAACAAACATAGAAACAAAGGAAGAATTTCTTACACAAAGGTCGTTGGGGTCGACTAAACATCCCAGTATTGTGTGGTCAGTCTTCAGGCTCTGTGAAGTCGGCATTGGGTGAAGCTCACTGGCAGGTGGGATCCAAATTAGCATAGCCGGTTGGAATTGGGCTTTTCGGTCCTTAAGGTGCCCAGCAGATTTACTGGCACCCTTGGTAAATAAAGGTGAATTGTGCTGTGAAAGGAAGTCTTTATTGTTTATCCTCTTGATCTTTCATTAAAAATATTAACCAACCAAATCAATCTAACCAAATTTCATTCAAAATNAAAATATTAACCAACCAAATCAATCTAACCAAATTTCATTCAAAATGTTAACAAAAATCAAGCTATTAAAGTAAAAAATAGAAAAGGAAAGGTATTATGTGTCACTTTATATGTCTTTTGCATGTTAAGCTTTGTATGGAATCATTTAACAGAATCATTTAATCAATTCATTGTTGAATAATTAAAAAAAATATTAACTGAGTATATTATTGACGTGGGTTGCTTTCAGAACTTCGGGACTAACACCTAAGGATTTTTGAGTAAGACGTTACTCATTAGCGATCTTTTACAGTGTATTTGAATTTCAATCAAAGTTCAGTCTTCTGCAGTATATAAATACATACTCATGAAAATGTAATGATAACGTGTTATTTTGTGCCACATGGTAGCTGTGTGGATGGTTTCAGACCTTTGGGATTTTTGGGTTCGGGTCTGGCCTTCACCTTATATGTGTATGGTCCAGGGGTGCTGCTCGAGATTTTGGGCCCCCTGAAAGCATATCACATTTAGTCCCCTCCCCAGACCAATTCAGTTGTGTTCCAAACTTTCACTCCCTTTACAGTGCTCCTGATTAGCATGGTTCTCTACATGGTGTGGGTTTCCTCCTGCTTTCCAGAGAACGCAGATAGGCTAATTAGTGCTTCTAAACAGCCCATAGATCAGGGTTATTCAAATCACGGTCCTCGAAGTCGGAGCACCGCTGGTTTTCTAGCCTTCCTTTACCTATCAGTCAGGTGTGAAGCCTCTGACCAATCAGAATCAGTAATTATTAAACTAACTACCTGGGAGAACTGAAAACAAGGCCTGGATTTGGAATCGAGGTCCAGATTTGAAGAACCCTGCCATAGAGTGTCAGTGTGGCGTGTCCATGCCCTGTAATCCTTTTACCTAGAGCTGCCTGGGACAGACTTTAGTCCCCCTCCGACCCCTGACCATGATAAGCCATTGAAAAATGGATGGATGTTGAGCATGGGGACTGTTTGCTGTCAGCTCGGTGCCTGGAAGGTCTGTGGGCCAGTGCTATATGAGCTCCCCACAATAATGTTATGCTGAGTTGGCTCAGAGTTCTCTCATGCTGAGGGAACATCTCTCTTCATTGGGTCCCGGGGCTCTGTGTAGACTGGGCAGATCTTCAGGTTTGCTCCTTCATAATTACTGGCACTTCTGTCAGGGATTTGGATCCAGGCCGGTACTATTGACGGCCAACGAGGATTTTAAGTTTGGTTTTCCAGTTCCCTCTTACTAATACTTCCGGCGCGGCCCTTAGTGGCTGCCTGATACAACAGCTCCTGTGTCTTTGTTTGCTTTCTTTGGTTTTGTCTGTAATTTGGGTACTCTCTACAAAGACAAAGTACAAACTTTCTCTTGCTTTTGCGCCATATGTTTGTTTGTCTGCACTTTATGTATCATGCTATTGTTTTACTTTGTTTTTCTGCACTATTTGTACTGCCTTTGTATTTTGTCTTGCTTTTGCATTATATGTTCGTTCATCTGCACTTTACATACCTTGCTGTTATTTTTCTTTGTTTTGTCTGCACTTTATGTATCATGCTGTTGTTTTTCTTTGTTTTTATACACTTTGTGGGCTGCTTTTGCTCTTTGTCTTGCTTATGCACTACATGTTTGTCTGCACTTTACATACCTTGTTGCTGCACACACCAGAATTTCCCCCTTTGATCAATTAAGTTCATCTAACCTTATTTATGGGGCATCCAAACCACTTTCCCTGAAATGGAGGCATCAACCAGAACTGGTGCTTTTAAAAACAGATTTCCTGTGTACCTCCATTTCAGGTTAAATACAGGGAGGAAGGAAAGACGCAGGCCTCCCGCTCACTGTACTCCCTGCTGCCGGAGACGATGGAGACGCAGCACGCTAAGGAGGCCTCTCAGATCCAGAGCGAGGTGCAGAGTTCCTGATTTCCACATCTGATCAGCTTACATGATGCTCTTTTATTAACTGACAAGGCATCTGCCCTGGGTGGAGAACAACCTGCCAGAATTTAAATAGATTTTATACTCTAATAGTAACTTATGCTTCTCCTTGAGAATTTTCCCACAACTTCCCCACAGAAAATTGTATCATATTTTTCTCCCTTTTCTAATGCATTCAGATCAAATACATAGAAGGCAGAAAAAAGGACACTGCTAGCTCTCTTTATTCCCGTCTCCTGGACACGACAGAGATTCAGTTCGCAAGGGAGACGACTGAAATTCAGAGCGAGGTGCTGCGGTCAATTTCCATGCACGCTTGAAGCCACCACTGTACATTCCATATGTTTTTGGTGGCTTATTCCTGTGTTCTTCCACAGAACAAGTACAAGGAGAGTGGAAAAAGGACTGTTTCCTGCTCCGTTTACTCTCAGCTGCCAGAGACCAAAGAAATCCAGTTTGCCAAGGCGGCATCAGAGCTCCGGAGTGAGGTAGGTGGGACATCCTATGTGTCATTGATACCTGACACCTCTCAGAGTGGCTGGCTATGCATAAACCAGAAGGCTTAAAGCAGGGCTGTCAAACCAGTCCTGGAGGGCCCTACACATTTTTGGGTTTTCCCTCATTTCCCTCATGGGCGGATTGGTGGCTCTGAGTCAAGGTTGCTGGTTCAAATCCCGTGAATGCCACAAGTGATCCTACTCCACTGGGCCCTTGAGCAAGGCCCTTATCCTGCAATTGCTTCATCCTGGGTATGGCGTTAATCCACATCCAGCTCTATAAGGAGGTCCTCCAACTTACAGGGAAATTTGGGGGTTGCTGGCAGGATTGGCACTCCAGCCACGGGAAAAAACCTCACACTGGTCCGTTCGGACTAGTGTGGTGCTGAGGAATCACCCACCACATGGCTGCACTCAGGTTCTCATCCCTGAGGTGGTTTGTCACGTGGTGGATGCAGCATCGCACTGTAATCAGGGTGTGCTCCTTACCTCTGCCTCATTTAACATACCTGATTCAGCTCCTTGCACCTCCTTATGCTAATTACCACACAGCTCTTGAGCTGAATCAATTGTGGTGGAACAGGGAAAGAACTAAGCTCCGCCCCCCTAGGAAAGGAGTCTGTGAATAACTGCCCTGAAACTTATAAATGACAATAATGCATATAAGGCACAGTATGAGCTAGGACAGGGTTCATAAACTACCATGTCAACCATTTCAATTAAAAGGACCTGGGTTTCACTTTAGCACTGCGTTCTTGCTGTGTGCTGATTGGTCAGTATCGTATAATCATGCATCTGTTACCTATGTTAATATGAAATAGCTGGATGAGTCTTTCAATCAAGGAAACAAACAAGTCAAAGCACAAGAATAATTCAACCATTTAGCCAAACACAGGAGTCTTTCAGTTTTAAAGTAGTTTGCAAAACCTGAAGTAGCTCGTAGTGACCCCCCTGGCATGGATTAAGTGGTCACCCTACTCTTTGGGAATTTCAATGAAGTGTGGCCCCACCCTGGCCTTTTCTATGTTAAAGAAAAAATACAAGGAGGCAGGAAGGAAGGAGATCTGCACCTCCTTGTACTCCCTGCTCCCAGAGACCCCGGAGATCCTGCACGCTCGAGAGGCCTCCCAGCTCCAAAGTGAGGTGCACGCCCCTGCCAGTCCGCCGATGCCATGACCTTGCATGACCTTCCGACTGACTTAATTACCTGGATAATGTTATTCTAGCCCACTGCTTCTGAACCCAGTGCTCGGGTTCCCCCAGACGATCCGTGTTTTTGCTGGGAGCTGAAAGGGAGGGAAAATGTGGACTGTACAGGGGTCCCCAAGGGTTGGGAGGAGAAACACTGCTCTAGACATCTTATCCTCAAGGACACACAGATTAGCTTGAGATACAACCTGCCACTGGCTTTATGTAGTGTTTGAAGAGCTTGTTAACCTTCAATCATTTAACATGTAGATCAAGTACAAAGAAGATGGGAAAAAGGAGATTTCCACCAGCCTATACTCCCTGCTTCCAGAGACGACAGAAATGCAGCTGGCAAAGGAGATCTCAGATATGCAGAGTGAGGTGCGGGAGCTGGAGTGCCTGTGAATATGAGCCTTTTAATGAAATAAAGTTTAATAAAATAAATTATCTATCTATCTATCTATCTATCTATCTATCTATCTATCCATCTATTCATCCATCCATCCATCCATTTCTTCCATTTCATTGGATACCTGAAGCCTATCCTAGAAGGCACAGGACACAGGGCAGGGGACACCCTTGACAACATACCAGTAAAAATCTGAAATCTTGGTTTTTCTTTTCCTAGGTTAAGTACAAGGAAGCTGGAAAGAATCATATTTCCAAGAGCATTTATTCTCATCTTCCAGAAACGGCAGAAACCCAGCTGGCGAAACAGCTATCTGAAATTCAGAGCGAGGTAAAGTGTATATTGAAGACTTAACTCAACTCAGCCATCCCTGTCAAAAGAAATTACACAGAACAGTGTACAGAACAAGGATTAATTTGAATAAATGACAACAGTGCAATAATAACCATCATGTATTTTAATAAATGCATCTTTAAAAATGTACAAATAATATTTTGTGATTTATGCAGAACACAATATAATTTAAAAGGCAACCACCTGTAAAACAATTAGACATTTGCTAAGAAACTAATGGAAAAGTGGCTTTGGAATTAAATTGGTCGCTGACTCAAACTCAGATTTGGGGCTGTTATGGCTCCAGGTAAGAGTAGATTGAAAAGCACAGAGAGCAGTAATGTTAATAATGTTGTTGAAAAGTATAATTTAGTTCTAGGGATATGAGTGTTGTATAAAGATTTGATCCTTAATCCTATAGCAGAAAACATTCAGATTGGCAGTGCATCTCACCAAAGAAGCTGGCATGAGAACAGGAGAATGTTCCAGAGGGTTGGGAATGGGCTGAGGAGAAAAGCAGGAAGTCCAGAAAGAGAGATGTGGTGTGGTTGGAGTTTAATGGTTCAAGGGATGTTCCCAAGGGGGACCTAAGCCATGTTTTGACTGGTATATCAGAAGCAGATTTTAAGGCCTTTGGAGTAAAGTGTAGAGTAGTAGGATGCATATGATATCCGAGGGCCACGTTAGCAGTCACGTTCTGGGTGAGATGGTCTGGCTTGGATTTGCAAACCAGTACCCCAACCAGGAAAAGTAGCCAATCTCAAATTAGCACCCCAAAGCAGTGTATAGCTCAGTGTGTTAGACAGCTGTACAGTGGATATAAAAAGTGTACACACCTCTGTTAAAATGCCAGGTTTTGTGATGAAAAAATGAGACCACAATGAATTATTTCAGAACTCTTCCCACCTTTAATGTGACCTATAATCTGTACAATTCAATTGAAAAACAAACAAATTTGTTAGGGGGAAAAGTATAAAAACATGTACAATAAGCTGGTTGCATAAGTGTGCACACCCTTAAACTAATACTTTATTGAAGCACTTTTTGTTTTAATTACAGCATTCAGTCTTTTTTGGGTAGGAGTCGCTCAGCATACCACAGTTTGACTTGCCAATAGCCAAAGACTGAATGGTGCAAATATATCAAAATGTGATTCCAATTAACCTGCACTCATACTTGTGCAAATAGCAAATGACGTGTCTTTCCTTTTTTCTTTCTTTCTTTCTTTCTTTCTTTCTTTCTTTCCATTCAGATTTTTCTGCAGTCAAAATTAAATTTTTCTGGTCCTCCGATGCTGTCTGTTAATCTGAACATTTTGCTGCTTTGTGTTTCAGACCAAATACAAGGAGGCGGGGAGGAGGGAGGTGTCCAACTGCCTGTACTCCCAACTCCCTGAAACGATGGCGATCCAGCACGCTAAGGAGGCTTATCAGATACAGAGTGCGGTGGGTACCATTGTCCGGTCTACATACACTGTGATCTTGTGTGGTCACCACGAGTCTTTAAAGTCCTTAACTGCTACACAGAGGAGCTGCATTTGCTTCCTGCCTGATACACAAACACCAGAGTTCGTGTTCCCCCCGCGACCCTGACGAGGTTAAGGGGTTAGACGGTAGATGAATCTTCAAAAGGGTTTTTAATTACATTGTGCCTGTAGCTAAATCATGCTGAGAATATTATAACAACTACAGCTAGTGTGATCTTTGAATGACTCCATAGCTGTACTGTTAGAAGGATGCTGAAATGCTTTATTATTTGTGTAAACTACAAATAAAGAGTTGAAAATAATTAGAGATATTTAAAGGGTTAATTTTGCATTATATCCATTATATGTTATATATGACTTTAGAGAGTACTGCCATGCAGGAATTTGACTGCTTAGTGCTTATTTCTTGGTAGTTAGACTGTATTTATCGCTTTTTACTTCTAAAAGTATGTGGTGCATAATATATTTCTCCTGAGATTATTACTGGAACAGAAAATAATGAATGAGATTGCAGTGAATCACATGAGAAATGAGAGATTTTTTTTCCTAAACAGTCTAAAATGTATGATTAATGGAGATCAGGAAAAGTAATAGTTATTTTATATTAACCTCATTTCATCAAACCCAAAGAGATGCATGGAATGAAGATTAAAATAGACTTCCAGCTGAGATAAGTGATTTAGGTTCAACAAAGCCTTCTATGATATATTAGATCCTTCCCTTCAGGAAAATCAAAGAAATGTGAGCAATACATCTCATGTAATATCAATATTACATTTGACAAGCAGAAAAAAAGAATTTGAAGACATTTTGAAGACATACTGGTCATATATTTATTACATTTTAATCCCATTCCACATTATTTGTTCATAATAAATTAGTAATTTCTATTGACAGTTTCAATAAAACTGAAATTTAAATAAAACATACTTCAGAAAATATGTTCCCGTATGAATCATATTGAGATGTTTAAAATGTGCTCTTTTTCTTAATTTTCAGTTGAGATACAAAGAAGGCGGTATTAAGGGTCTCTCCACCTCCCTCTACTCACGGCTGCCGGAGACGACAGAGATTCAGTTTGCCAAAGAGGTCGCTGAGATGCAGAGTGAGGTGCGCTCAGAAATCCTCTGCCATCTTCCATATAAATACATATTTATATGGAAATTTATATGGAAATTTCCAGTCATTGAAATTGATATGATTAGCCAGGAGCTGAAGTCCCACTCAGTAAGATTGTTCTTTAATGGTTAATTTGGTTGGTGTCCTCATGGGAATCACGGCTTGGGGTTTATGCTCCTAGGCTGAAAATAACACAGGATGCATGTGTATAACCTTTGAGAGCAGCATTCATTGCCGTCACACACATTTAATGACGTTTAGTTGCACAGCTAGCTTTACACAGGTAGGCGCTGAATAGCTTTTACACGGTTTTGAGGCCCAGAGTAGATTTTCCTTTGTCTTGTAATCTACCCCCTAATTCTTAATAACTAACTCATTATTCCTTTTTTGAAAATGATCAAAAACATCCTGTGCCCTCCCTCTAGGACTGTGGAGTTTGTAATATTGAACTTTTTACCCCCCCCACCCCACCAAATAACATTTTTGTTTAGTGGAATGTTTTCTGTTTAATACATAGATTGTTATGTGATTGCTTTTTAACAGTGACATGGTTAGCTTCTTATATCCATCCATCCATTACTGTAACCGCTTAATCCCAACTGGGGTTGTGGGGGGGACTGGAGCCTATCCCAGGAACAACGGGCGCAGACAGGAACCAACCCTGGGCAGGCGCCAACACACCACAGGGCACACACACTCACAGGGCCAACTTAGAGTCACCAATTAACCTAATCTGCACAATTTTGGAGTGGGGGAGGAAACTGGAGCCCCCGGCGGAAACCCACAAGAACACAGGGAGGGTGTGCGAACTCCACACAGAAAGGTTCTACGTCCGACCCGGGGACTGAACCCAGGACCTTCTTGCTGTGAGGCAGCAGTGCCACCATGCTGCCCCTAACTTCTTATATGTTCTTGTCAAATAAAATTATTTCTTTATAAGGTTTAGATTGGTATTGCAAAAACAATTTTTCCAAAAATAGCTGCTGAAACAGTGAGGGGTCGCCTTAAAATATTCGGGCTGTATGGGATCCTTTGGAATCTGTAAATAGGAAATTATCACCATAAGAAAACTGAAGGGGGCAGCACAATGGTGATGTGGTTAGCACTTTTGCCTCACTCTTCTGGGACCTGGGTTCGAGACTCTCCCATGGCTCCACATGTGAGGAGTTTGCGTGTTCTCTCCATGTAATTGTGTGGTTCCCTCTGCGATCTCCAGTTCCCCCCACAGTCCAAAAACATGCTTTATGTGTGTCTGTGTGTGTGTGTGTGTGTGTGTGTGTGTGTCTGGGGGGGGGGTTATTCCCTGCCTTGCACCCATAGCTTCCGGGATAGGAACCGCGACCCTGCATAGGCCAGGCTTGGATGGACAGATGGCTAAATCTGGAAATCTTGCCCCTACAGAACAAGTACACGAGTGGAAAAAAGGCGGCATCAACATCCATTTACTCTCAGCTACCAGAGACAACAGAGATGCAGTTTGCCAAGGCCGTGTCAGACCTACAGAGTGAGGTATAGCATATTAACAGAGGAAAGCAACTTTGCTACTGAGATCGATAAGAGTCCCTTAGTCGTTAAAGAACATTATACTGCCATACAAGAGCAAAACACTGTCTTTATTTTCTAAAAAATTGATTGGAAACATACAAATCAAAAGTCCAAATCAGAAATATGATTGGAGTTGTGACCGAAATGTAATCATGATAAAATATCTTAACTTAGAAACCTTTTCTTCTCAATGTCAGCATGGAGTAGTTACAGTGTTTTGCCTTTGTAGGGCAGTGTGTCGGTATGAGGGATTTGCAGTGATAATTATTGGAATAATCACGTGTCCAGTTGTGATCTGGGGCTCAGAATGAGTAGAAAGGAGATGCATGGGTCACTTGAAGTCTCTGCTCTACGGTTTCACTTCAGACGAAGTACAAGGCGGCAGGGAAGAAGCAGGTGTCTGCATCCCTCTACTCCAAGCTCCCAGAAACCATGGAAACACAGCATGCCAAAGAGGCCTCCCAGCTTCAGAGCACGGTACATACTGTGTTACTGATGCGGAGCGCACCTTAAGCTGAGGGCCAGCTGTTTACATTTACATGTGTGCTATTTAGCAGGGGCTTTTATCATAAGCAATGTATGAATGAGAGTAATATTACACTGCAAACATAAGTGCTGTCAAGCAGTTGACTAGGGCACAAGTGTAGCTAGGTTGAGCCTCCACTGAATGCCCAGCTACACGCGTAAGCAGGATAGGAGCAAGAGCTACTCAACAATGTCTAACAAAGCAAGAACCTAACAAAACTACTGTTCAAGTCAGCAGAAAGTGCAACACTTAGATCTTTCAGGCAACTTAGAGAGGTGTAGGCTGGTGGAGGTATTCCTGGAATAGATGAGTCATGAAGACTTTCTTGAAGGTGGAGAGGAAATCTGAAATGCGCTAAAATGTAATCAAGGGCAATGTTTTGCTTAAGCATGCGCATTACTAAAAGTGTGAAAATGAATGAATGAATGGTTATGTTATGCATATAAATATTATTGCTGTTTCAGAAAAAATGGCACAACTATATTTCACATGCTGAATTTTGGACCCCATCTATTTATAGAAATGGTACAAGGAAGATGGCAAAAAGGGTATTTCCAGCAGCCTCTTCTCTTCGCTTACAGAGACGACAGAAACACGGTTTGCCAAAGAGATCTCTGAGATGCAGAGTGAGGTGAGGATTATAGGATCCCGTTGGCTGGTTCCTGCACTGTTTCATCAGGGTTCTGTTTTGTACACAGAACTTTAAATTATTGTAGAGAAATCATAATTTTCTGTGATCGTGAAGTCTACCAGAAAATGTGCATGCATTTTACTAAAATATAAACTGAATTACTTCCTTAGATCAAGTACAAGGAGGATGGGAAGAAGGAGATGTCTACAAACCTGTATTCCTTGATGCCAGACACAGCAGAGACTCAGTTTGCGAAACAGATGATGGATCTGCAGAGTGAGGTATTAAATGATGTAATTAAAAGAAATATCAGTGGTGTTATTACAGGATTTTGTGAAAGAGATGGAGTGTTAGACACCCATGAAGGGCCAATCAGCAGTCAGCGCGAAAGGACGCCTTAGCCCTGGTTGTCTGTCTATGCAGTAAATTGTTCTTTTTGTTTGCTTTTATGCAGCTATAGTTACACTATACTCTCCGCCTTACTGCTTACTCATGTTTGGCTAAAAAAGAGACAAAATACAATAAACAAATTTAAAGATGAATCTGACTGGTAGTATTATTATAATTATTTTGTTCAAATTTCCCATGTATATTGCATGATATCGTAATTGTGAATTCTTTTGCGCAGGATAATCGTGTAGTAAAAGTCTGATATCGGGACAGCCCTATTCTGAAAAGGAAATACACTCTTGACCTTCCTTTCATCTTGGCTCTGAGAGCAGCTGAAGGTGACCTGCCAGTTGCCTAGGCCCCCTGAAAAGGTTGAGCCAGCCCTGCCTGAGTGGACGGTAATGAATGCTGTTTCATCTCAGACTAAATACAGGGAGGCTGGAAAAAAGCAGGTGCCCAGTACGCATTACTCCCTCCTAGCGGAGACGATGGAGACCCAGCGCTCCAAGGAGGCCTCTCAGATCCAGAGTGAGGTCAGTCGGCCCGCATCTGATCTGCAACATCTGGCTGCGGTACCATTAGCTCGCTGCTCCAGAGAACAGAGTCTAAGCAGCCGAAGTAGATTCATAATTATAGTTTCAGTTTAACGCATTTCAGTAGGTTTTTATGGGCACAGCTGCAGAAAATGAAATGTTATTTTTGAGACATCCTTATTTTGGGATGGATAATTTTTCTAACCAGCACAAGGGGAACGTCCAGTTCCCTTTTTTCTCAGTCCCCAAATATGCCGCTATTTTTGGTCAGATAATTTGTTTGACTGCTTCATTTATAGAATATCCGATTAAATCAGTTTTAAAATAATTCTCGTAAAAGCCAACTCTTGTATGTCTTGTAAACATGCTGTTTTGACATGAGTTTGATATTGTTTAATAATTTACCATTTGAATTATAGATGTATGAATGACACTCATTATTTTTTACATTTATATCATCTGGCTCCAAAAATGCAAAAAATCCATCTCCCAGTCTTTGTTTATATACCTGTTGCCTACAGGGGTCTCTATTCCAGAATTGTACAAGAATAGTAGCACTGCATTATGGGACACGGACTATGGAGTCAGTAACGGGAATTTTCGAACAATTTTTGTTTTTTGCAGGTAAAATACAGGGAAGCTGGCAAAAAGGAGTGTTCCAGGTCACTCTACTCTCACCTTCCAGACACAAATGAAATCCAGTTGTCAAGAGAGCTTACAGAAATGCAGAGTGAGGTAGTACAAGGCTGATGCGGACTTTTGATTTGTATGTTTCCGATGTATGTCTGGATGTTTCTCTTCAGCCATGAAATGCTTAAAGAAATGAAATGCTTCAAAATAGTGTGTAATCTGAAATCAGTTCAGTAATATTAACTTGGGAAGGTTAGAAATATTCCTGATTTTGGCCTGTATCCAAAAGCCTGCTGCTGTTTTATCATCGTCTCAGTCATGTGAAATATCTGTTTTTTGCCTGTTTTTGCTTTTTACCCAGAACAAGTACAAAGAAAAGGGGAAAAGGAGCATGTCCTCTAGTGTATATTCTCAGCTTCCAGATACCACAGACATTGAGTTTGCCAAAGCAGTGTCAGAACTCCAAAGCCAGGTACAGCCTTATTTCACAAGTCTAATCTCTATTAACCCAACTCGTACCCCAGTTGTGATGAACGTAAAGTTTTTAGCTGAATAATTATCATTATCTACTGTTGATTCACGTCATTTATACCACCTTTTACTTTTTAAACTGTAGCTGAACAGAAGGCCGCTATTTGTACAACTTGCAGTGAAATGCTCGTCCTGGCAGGATCACTGACTGTGCAACATAAAATTAGAGAAATTATTATCTAATCTATACAGAATACAGTAAATATACCAAATATAAAAGTATCAAAAAAGCAAAGACAAATATAAAAATATAAAAGTATCAAAAAAGCAAAGACAAAAACCAATTATCACATTTAGTGTGTGCAAATGTACAAGGTAGGTAGGTAAGTGTGCAAAATGTGATCAGAAGATGAAAAGGGAGTGAAAGACATTAGAGGAGAGAACGTTAGTGTGAGTCTGGGTGCAGTTGCAGATTGTCTTTTACGTGCTGTTATTGAGAAGGCTTATCACTTGTGGATAGAAGCTTCTCCTGAAGTGTTCAGTCTGGACCTTGAGGCTGCAGAGGCGTTTTCCTGACCTCAGCGGCCTGAACAGTTTATATGTGGAGTGGGTGGAGTTGCTAGTAATCCTGAGGACCAGGGCCCTGCACCATGTGGAGTAAACGTTACATAGAACCTGGCCCTCACCTCTTAATATCTCAGAATCCTTTGGTGTTGTTTTCTGGTCAGAAGGCAAACCATGGCACATACTGCTAATACAAGCATCCGGACGAGTTAGCATTAGCGCCACAGGGCTTTATTTGACTGAGGAGCCCCTTAATGAGGAATGGAAGCATCCGTTTGGTTTGTAGATTAAATACAAGGAGGAGGGAAAGAAGCAGGCCTCCCGCTCACTGTACTCGCAGCTGCCGGAGACGATGGAGACGCAGCACGCTAAGGAGGCCTCTCAGATCCAGAGTGAGGTATGTGCTCTGTATATTTAATATGTATTACAGGAGGTAGACATGCGCACACACACGCACATACACACACACGCAATACCAGTCAAAAGTTTTTATTACTTTTCAATTTAAAAACTGCATATATTTTATTCTTGTTAAGCACTGGAAAGTTGAGTGAACAACTGTAAATGAAAATATAAGTGAAATAAAACAAGTTTCCTTTATAACATGGAAAGAGTAACCATGCGTGTCTGGCATCCTATTAACTGGCTGTGAGGTGATGGCATAGTCAAATTCTAGGCTGTCCTTTAACTTTAACTGCACTCGTTACCTGTTTCATCCCATGAAACAGAGCAGTATTTGATGTCTCTTGTGGAAAGAATACTCAAATTAGGTTAATTTGATGAATCAAAGATATGACATTTTCTTGCTAATAAAATGGTGAACATATTTGTTATTTGTTAAGAAAGAATATTGAGTATATTTTTCGCAAATATTAAATGAGCAACATGCAAATGTAGAAAATCGCAGTGTGGAAGTGTGTGCAAAAACCTTTGACTGGTAGTGTGAGTATCTACAGTATATACAGTATATACATACATGCATACATGCATACACGCATACACACACACATATATATATATATATATATATATATATATATATATACGTGTGTGTGTTTTGACTTTGACTTCTGACTATGAATCATATTTCTGCCATTTTTGCAAAAATACGATTATATTACTGTTAATTTTTCCAAATAAACAAGCTGCAGTCAAATAATGGATGCCACTTTCTGTAAAATGTCCCAATGAGGAAGCACATTACTGCAATTGTATCATAGTATAGAGCTGCCATGTGCAAAGAATAATTTTTCCATTGTGGTACAGAGTCGCCATATGGCAACATTTGTATTTTCTCAATTTACTATAAAACTATGTTACATGAAGTTGATTTGTGAACGATGACATCTGTTTCACTTATCAAATACGCAGCAAAAAATTTGTTTAGTGACACAATTTGTGGGGCACACTGACATGTTTCTTCTACTGTATCTGAGGGTGACCTTGACAAAGAGTGTCACTGAGGGAAGTATAAATGTCATGTGACTTAAAAACACCAGATAATTAGCTATCTTAAGGCATTTCCTTTAAATTCCAACAATTCAATATGTTGTAGTTTTTTGCTGAATAACGAGTAATTGAAGTGAAATTTGTTGCCGTAGGACAGCACGGTACCACAGAGGTTTAAAACATCTCCTGATCTTCTATGCATTAAAGTCAGTTAAGTATGACTAATTAATGGAAATGTTTGGGGTTTATTTCCCAGGTAAAATACAAAAAGAGTGGGAAAGATGGGACCTCCGGTTCACTTTATTCCCAGCTCAGGGAGACACCTGAAACTCAGTTTGCCAAAGAGCTCTCGGAGAGACACAGTGAGGTAACGTTTTATGAAGGCCATATTTGATGCCTAATCTGATTTTGCAAACATCCGTCCATCCATTCTTCAACCAGTTATGCAGTAAAGGGTTATGGGACAGACCTGCTCCCCCCCCCACCCACATGCCTGGCACACACATTGAAAATCACAAAATTCTTTCCTGTTGAAGGTCAAATACAAAGAAGATGGGAAGAAGGAGATATCCACAAGTCTGTACTTCACCTTGCCAGAGACAGCAGAGACTCAGTTTGCCAAACAGATGTCAGAAATGCAGAGCGAGGTATCTGTTCAGTGATGTATTAACAGGCCACCATGACATAAACACAGAAATTGAGTGAATACAAAACAAAGGGAATATTGTGATGGATTCTGCATATTTTACCCTATTGAAATGTGTTCAGCGTGTCTCTGTCTAGTTGTGTGTACTGCAAGGTAACAGTTTCTTCCCACTGCCAAAAATAATCTCTTCATTACTTTTGGTGGTATTTGTTTTACTTTTCAGATAAAGTACAAAAGAGATGCCCAGAAGGAACTGTCAGATTGTCTGTACACACAGATGCCCCAAACCAACGAGACTCAGTTTGTTAAAGAACTGTCCCAGTTCAAGGTGGGGTTTGCGTTGACAAATGTCAAACAAGTTGCTTCACTTAAACCTAACAAAATCTGGCTAAGGAAAGGTTTTGCAACTCAGTCCTCACGGACTCCAAGGCAGTGCACATTTTAGCTCCCTCCCAACTCTCAGCATGCGTGAACCAAATGATCAAGCAATCAGGAACAGGTACAGGTGTGTTGAGAGTTGGGAGGGAGCGAAAATGTGGAATGTCTGGGTTGAGAAACACTGGTCTAAGGGATCCACCGTAACTGAAGAAATGGAGAAGTCTAACTACTCACTCATGACATAACAACCCCATGTTAACAATTGTTTGATGTGCAAAATAAAATTTTCCCTAATATGTGTAAAATGGCAACACATTGCCTCATATATTATCCTCCTTAATATTTAGGGGCCTTTAAAATATTTCTTCTTTGAATAAATATAACAATTTGAAAGATAACGTGATTAAGTCTAGGGTGACCAGATAATCCATGTCAGGGAGGACACTCTGAGCTAGGACAGGAATTGTAAATTACCATTTCAATTAAACAGACCTGGATTTCACTTGAGCACTGAGTTCTTGCTGTGTGCTGATTGGTCAGTCTCCTATAATCATGCATATGTCACTAATGCTAATGTGAAACAGCTGGATGAGCCTTTCAGTCAAGGAAACAAACCAGTCAAAGCACAAGCAAAGCTGAACTATTTGGGCGAGTACAGGAACCTTTCAATTTGAAAGTAGTTTGTAAAACCCGAAGTAGCTCAAAGTGTCCTCCCTGACATGGATTATCTGGTCACCCTAAGTAAATCTGATTCATGGCTTCTGTGGTGGCGTTGGCTTTTGGAAACTTGGGCCTCATTTATCAAAGTTGTATATGCAAAGATGCCTGAAATGAGTCTGCACAACTTTTTAGGCAAAATACCAGGGGTTTACATGCAAATCAAGCCTTTTTGGTTTTATGGTTATTTGTGGGTGGCAACTGTGTGTTTTCTTAATGATGAACTTTGCTCAAAGTTTGGTAGATGAGAGCCCTGGATTAGATGCAAAAGCAAGTGTTAAATGAGAGGTGCAGGTTATTAAAGTCAGACTGCAGGTGGCGCTCTGACATGGTGAGCGCTAGAAGGCTGGCTATAGTGAAAGCTAAATGAGGGAAAAGTGAACCCAACAGGAGATATAGTGGGGGGGGGGGGGACACAAGGCTGGGGTACACCATGGATGAAAAGCCAGTCCAATGCAGTCCACACACCATCATACTCTACAGGAAATTTAGAGATGTGAATTAGCCTTCCTTTGTGTCTTTGGACTGCGGGAGGAAACCAGAATACCCACATGACATGGAGAGAACGTGCAAAGTCCACAAACGCGCAGAGCAGATGGCGGCTTTAGTTATTAATTCACAGTATAATTGCTGTCTCGTTCATTAATTGCACTGGAATTTTGACTCTAAGCATGCATATGTTCAGTTATTGTTTTGGTATTTTATCACAAGTGCCTGGGCTTTATAAGCAGAAGATTGGAAGCTGGAATCTTAAAGATAAGATTATTTGATGGACTCGCCAGTCAGAAAGCAGAGTGCTTAGAACAGCTTATCTCAGGATGCTTTGGGAGCTGACTTTGAGTGCAACTCCACAGCAGTTATGAAAGCTGCCCCTGATGCTAAAACTGACCCATGGTGTATCTCAGGCTAAATACAAAGAGGCTGGAAAGAAGCACGGATCTATGTCTCTGTACTCCCAGCTAGCAGAGACCAAGGACACCCAGCATGCGAAAGACGCCTACCAGCTACAGAGCGAGGTAAGTGCTTCCATTTATCTTTGCAGAATGACTCATCCACCATTTAGCTATGAGTAATCGTTACTGCAATCTTTATTTTTTGTCATAATTTACAAAAAACCAAAGAGTTTATTAACATCTGAAATATATGTCGCACCTTTACTTATATGTCTGCGTGTTTGTTTATTATTATTATTTCTTAATTTTTGTTTCTCTATATATTTTATTTTTATTCTATTTATAGTCTTTTTTTGTACTTTTCTCTAGATTGCATGTTTGATTGTATACTTCATGTCCCCTCCTGCACCAAAACAAATTCCTCCTATATTCTGCACTTGGTGAATTGAAGGATTCAGATTCTTATTCTGATTCTGTCTCATATTATGGTGAATCATGTTAAAATATCATTCCTTTTATGTTTTAGATCAAATATAAAGAAAGTGGGAAGGGGAGCATTTCAGCCTCTCTGTACTCTCAAATGCCCGACACGGCTGAGATCCAGCTAGCTAGAGAGCTTACCGAAATACAGAGTGAGGTAAAGTTTGATGCAGAACCTATTTTTTTTGGGATGAAAGGAGAGAAGTGTTGATATTTGACTATATTATCTTCTCTTCTGTGGTGTGATGAATAATATATGTTCTGCATGATCAGCTCCGGAAATTAAGAGACCACAGCAACATGTTTAGTTTCATGCATTTCTCAATGTATGGGTGTGCACCTGTGTAAAATATACATTTCGATTGTTCTCTGTTTCTCATTAATGAAGGGCCTCTTCCTTGCTTTAAGGGACTTCAGTCCTGCTTCTAGGAGCCTGATACGATCCTGTCCTAGCAGTGCACTTCACACCTGCACTTAATGTTTCCCATTCCTTTTGAAGTCATCCTCTCATTCATGAGACACTGTCAGATAAGTCATCTCTGGCATTAGAAAGTCCCTCCTGCCCTTTACCTGGCTGGTTTCTGGTCACTCCCAGTGTCTCCTACTTCACCTTCTTCTTGTGTACTGCTCTGTTGGAAATTTTGTGCCTGGAAGCAACGTGTTGCTCAGCGTAGCCCTCTGCCAGCATACCCTGGATTAAACCTGGATTTAACAATGCAGATTCTTAAAAAATATGGAGTGGTCTCTTAATTTCCATAGTTGTGCGTCCAGCATCAATAGCATAGAAGTAATTATGGAGATCTTTGCTGCATACTGCCTGCTGTACTGTATAGTTAGTTGGATTAAGTAAGTATAGTAAAATATGTAGAATAATGCTCCAGCTGTTTTACCTGCAGTACAAGTACAAAGAAAAGGGCAAGAAGAGCATTTGTGCGAGCATCTATTCCCAGCTTCCGGAAACCACAGAGATCCAGTTTGCTAAAGCTCTGTCGAAACTCCAGAGCCAGGTACATTTTAGAGACACTCAAAGGAATATTCACCGGGAATAATGGATTTGTTATTTTTTTTCTTTAATCAAAATCCAGCTTCTCAAACTAAAACAGTTTGTTAGCTTGTCCATGCTAATCAGTCATTTCTGGATACATTGTTTTTTTTTTCTTTTACAACGAATCTAATTGCTGCTAGTTAAAAAAGAAAGTGACACTTAAAGTTAAAGCTTCGACTCCTGTATTTCAGGTTAAATACAAGGAGGCGGGGAGGCAGGTGAAGGCTGTTTCCCAGTACTGTCGGCTGCCGGAGACAAAGGAGACGCAGCATGTCAGGGACGCAACGCTGTTACAGAGCCAGGTGCATCAACTTCCCAGTCAAGCATAGGCTGTTAGCATGTTTCTTAAGATCATAGCTACACAGGGCATAAGAGTGGCTTATGCCACAGCACTGCTGAATACTCGAATCTGACTGGTCGGAAGAATGTTCACTAATTTTCTATGACTGCACACACAGTGCAAGCCAGGTGAACAACAGTACTATATCAATGCACTATTATGATCTTTAATTCTAATTGTTACTTAAAATTCTAGATGTAGAACGCAATTTAAAATTGGAAACTAAGCGAAATGTCTCATCATTGATGGAAGAATGTAGTTCTACTGATAAAAATGTTTTTTGCTCATAAACATGAATATAATGTCTTGCTTCCTTAAGCGACAGCTAATTTGATTAATTTGATTTGAAGATGGAAGGATAGATAATAGCTTAATAAATATTACTCTGATGTTTATTACTCTAATATTTATTACTGTAATGTTTCAGATAAAATACAAAGAAATCGGGAAAAGGGACAATTCCAGACCTCTCTATTCCCAGCTTCTGGAAACTTCCGAGATCCGGTTTGCCAAGGAGATATCAGGCATCCAGAGTGAGGTAACGCATGATTTGGTGGTGTGGAAGAAAACAGAAGGCTGAGAAATGTTAATTATCATGACTAGAATGCAAAGGCTCTGTCCACCATAAATCACTTTTATTGCTGATGTCTTCTTCTCTCGTACCCCTATCCTTAGAGGGGTGGGGGACAACAGTTATATCCAACAACTGTATTATCAGGAAATAGGATATAAAATTATTAAAGTGATTTTAAAAGGACTACATGTGTTTTATTGACATTTTTATTATGGTGTGACAATGTTGCATTTGTCTTAATGGCAGAAGTATTACGGAGAGCATAAATCAGTGCTTTGTGTCTTTTAGGTAAAATATAAAGAAGGAGGCAAAAAGGATACTGTTACAAGCCTTTATTCCAGGCTTCCAGAGACCAGGGAGACTCAGTTTGCCAGACGGGCATCGGAAATCCAGAGCCAGGTAAGATTCACAAGAAATAAATAGCCCAGTTCATCTCTGAATATGCTTTTCTATATCTGCCCTTGTCAGCAGATCTATAACTGATCTATACCTCCATGAGATACTGTAATGTTTTTGTCTTACTGAGAAAAAGGACACCGGTTTTCTTAGTCAGTGATCTCAGAATAAAAATTTGATTGCTCTTGTTTTATAACAACATTTTTTGTAGACATTCAGTATTATCATTTTATAGTCATAAGTTAAATGAGTCAATGTACATCCATTTTGTGATTATTTAGCTGTTTTCAAAGTAATATTTTATTGGATAAATGTATGCTATTGTGATACTTTCCAGATAAAGTACAAACAAGCCACCCATCAGGAGCTGCCTAACTGCCTGTATGCACAGATGCCCCAAACCAGCGAGACACAATTTGCAAAAGAGATGTCAGAGTCTCTGAGTGAGGTGGGGTCAAAGGTCGATCTCACACCCTGTGACGGCTGGCTTCTCTCACACATCACCAGGAGTCCTAGACTAGAGCCATCCTGAATGCCAGTGATATCTTATCTTATTCGGGCAAAACATTCAGTGGCTTGACAGGAGCTCAAGCTTACGCCAACCAGGGATTAGTGCTGTGTGTCAAAGGACAGTGAGATGGCCAATGACATGCCTTAAATTTGATTTGGAAATGTTTAACTTCATCATTAACAGCAGTAGAGTACAATATGTATTTTTTCATTTTGGCTTTTGTTTTGTCACTACCTCGAGCAAAGGAGACTAAGGGGGGACATGATCCAGGTATATAAGATTCTAATGGGTCTGGATGCTGTTCAGCCTAATGGCTATTTCAATATTAGTTTAAATACTAGAACTCGTGGCCATAATGTGGAAATTAGCGGGAGATCATTTTAAAACGAATTTGAGGAAGCACTTCTTTACACAGCGTGTAGTGTATGGAATAGTCTTCCTGCTACTTGGTCCCTTTAAATCAGAGCTAGATAAGATTTTAGCAACTCTGAGCTATTAGTTAAGTTCTCCCCAAACGAGCTTGATGGACCGCTGCGGGTGTGGTACCATCAGATTGGAAGCATGCTAATATAACACCCATATTCAA